ACTCTGTTCGAATCCCAATTTGAATCCGAATATGGTTATTTATATCATTATGGCAAAGAAAGACGATTACTTTACCCACTTGTAAAAAGCTATCTGTGAGGTTATACTGTAAAAACATTACCATAATTCATTTTAGATTCATTAAAGTGATGAAACCTCGATTAAGGTAATGACATTTTGTTCAGATGTTCAGTGAAAAGTGCAAAGTAAATCATTTTGTCCTAAATTATGTTACAAAATTTAGGTGCCATTATTTGTGTAAAATCCAGGTGTGCCTGTAAAGGAATAGACTACACATCCTGTAACGCTCATACATCTAAATTCAACTGAGCTATTCATCTGAAACTTCTTGTGGAGTTGCATCATGGATGCTTATAGTGTCAATGTGCCATAACAAAAAGTCTGATTTATTGTGGACGAAACAGTTATGCAACATTATGTGAGCGGGTGTCATTCGGATTGTGTCACTGTAGCAATAAACTTTCAAACCTTGATTTCTCAGTTCCGTAAAAATGTGAGATAGTACAAAGTTATTCTCATGCGACGAAATATCATACTTACTGAGTGAGGGCAGACAAATACAAGACGACCTCCAGACCGACCTTGGATTTTCCCAAAACTATGGCAGGATGACAGGCCCTCATATATCTGTTTGTAGAAACCAAATATCTTGCGTCTTAAATTAATCTAGAATAACAAAGTACACCATTTATTAACACCTTTTGCTTTTAAAGGACAATTTTATAGTTCATTGTTGTGTTGTTGTTGTTTATTGTTATTGTTTATTATATAATTCATTGTTACCAGGGTTTTCTATTGTTCAATTACAACTTCAGAAATAATATAACTGTGTAATTCTGTTTTGAATGTAATCTTGATAAAGCTGGTTGCATGACTGTTGAAACGTCAAAAATAAAAAATTATTCTCTCAGGAAATATTGTGTAAAAGAACTTGAATTATTCAATATCTTACCAGAGTGAGTGATCAATAACCCAGGTGCGAGTAGAAATAATCAGGATTTACATCATTTAAAATTGAAAATTAAGTCAAAGTTATATCATATTTGAAATGTACATGTAAAATTACATCTAGAAATATGGTTTTAAAAAGAATTTAAAAAAGTATTTATCAAATTTGAAAAATTAATTTTGTTGAAAATATGTGACTTCTAGGTCGGGGAGATTCCCCATAGACCCCATGTTATAAAATCATAAAAAGTGAAATATCTTTTCTTTCAGTGGACAGATAATATTTTCTTTACTGGACATATTTTCATTTGTATAAGTATAAGACACATAAGGATTATATGAAGATTGACCCAATAAAATTAATAACATTCAAGTTTAAGGGAACTTTCTTATATACCTGCCATGTTAATTGACCCGAGTCAGCCACCTGGTGGTGAAACTGGAAACTATCTACTCGCATCTGGATAATTGACACATAAATAACTCAACTAGTTTATCCAATGAAAAGTGAGGTTTCACCATTGTGTTTTCCATGAGAACCATATCAAGGGATATTTGAGTGGGAATACAAAACTTGTATGGAAACTTGTACTTATAGATAAAACTTCAGGGTGTTACATAATGATAATTAATTGTTGGAATAGAGATCATAGTTCATTGATTGACACAAATGATTATGCTAGGGTTTAGATTTAGATCAAATTTTATAAGTTTACAATCATTGTCTATATTTAACATTAATTTGACCATTTAAAGTACTAGTTTAGGTACATTTTCAAACAACGTTTATCAAACGCTGTCCATTGTCACGTCATGTACTTGTAGTTATATAAGGAAATGCACATACCATTGAATCATTTACAGTGTTAACAATGCCAACTTTAGTGCATATTGCAATGAGCTGATTGTGGTGCAAGTCATCCAGCTCATCAATGTTGACTTCGCCAGAAGCTATTAAAGAAGACAGCTCCGCTTCGCTGGGTTTACCTAAATCATTGAAAATGCAATGTTTAAATTTGGAGAGGAATACATTTACAAATAAGATATGAATGGCTTGAGTTGATTACGCAATATGATACTGCAAATAAGACAAGTTAATCGCAAAACTACTTCAACGAGAGTGTAGTCTAACTGATAAAAGGCTGCGTACTGTACATCAACTATAAAACACCAACTCCGAGAAGTAGCAAATGGCAACAAACAAAAAATGTTTCTATAAATAGCAGAGGTCATACAACAGATGTAGGGATGGACAGACAGACGCCTTTCTGATATCCGCCGGGAACTTTGTTCGGTGGGATAATTATGGAAATTGTGTCAAGAAATGTCAAGAATTTTAAAATTTATTTATAAAACAAAGATTTAAGACCAGGGTGCATGTCCAGAATTCATTAAGTGAATGAAATTGTTACTACTTACATAATTATATAATTACGATTTGGATTTGTTCATTGACAAATCTGGGCCAATTAAGCAGTTACTAGGTATGAGCAATCTACAATCTGATTCTTTAAGATAGTTGTAGGAAATGATTATCCTTATAGGAGTTGGCCTATTATAATTATACTTTCAAGGTCTACTAAAAAACAGAGACATATTGCCTGATATGACATTTATGTGCTAACGGCTACATGTTTCCATCTTACCTTCGACAAGTTCGTCGGGCCTACATATCGTGGACTGTTTTTGGAATTCAGTGTTTAAAATAGATGTTCCCCTCAATGCAGGTGGAATGAATGGTGCGACACGATAAGCATTCATCTTCTTTATTTCTGGATGTGAAACAACAGAAGCTGACACTAAATTCTCGTGAACAGTGGACCAAAAATCATCTGGATCCACTTTCCCATCACCATGATCTCCCTGATCAAACTGAAATGAACAAATAATTTATACAGTAATACCAGCATATAG